AGGATTCCCCAGCCCTGGCGCGGCCCTACAGGATTCCCCAGCCCTGGCGCGGCCCTAGAGGATTCCCCAGCCCTGGCGCGGCCCTAAGGGATTGGACCAGATCCCGATCTAGACCATTGTGACAAGGAAGAGGTCTGCTGGACCAGATCATGATCTAGTCACTAGTCTAAACGAAATCGTGAATCAGGCGAAGAGGGTTCACCTCGAACGGACTAGATCACGATCTAGTCTAAAACAGATCGGGAATCAGACTAGCATCCAAACCTCAGGGGCCCAGCGTGAGAACCCCATCCGAATACCTTGGGCTCCGCTCTGCGCGCCTCCGAAAACCTTACCTTAACCTTTTCGAAACTCCACGGGTTCTTCGCGAAGCGCGGATAATTTCGCGCATCGCGCTGCAATCTCCTGCCGTCCTAGCTCCCAGGATGCGAAACGCGTCCACCTTTGCTCTGCGAACCGTCGTAGGCTCAGACCGCGAAGCGCGAATAACTTCGCGTTTTTGCGCCGCCACCCCGGGAGCGCGAAGCGCGACTAGCTTCGCACCCTCGAGGGAGCCCTTGCCTCCCAAACAGTCGGCACCATCTCAACCATGAGTTTCCTCCCGCCGTTTTTCCGATGGCCACAGTTGGCACCTTACTCACATGTCGTAATTGTCAGCCTTTTTCCTGAGCGCCCGAAGCTGGTTCATGACTCGCATGCTCGTTCCGCTTACGCCTTTTTCTGGATCTCTATGCTGGGACGCCACTCACAAGTCAGTTGGGGGAAAAGACCCGGCCATAAAAATGCCCCCCAAGCCGGCCAAAAAGGGTGCCCAGATGGGGGACCCGAGCGGATATTTCGAGCCCGCGGCCCCGGGAAGCTTCCAGGAGGCCCCCAAGAAACCCCAAGAGGCCCCCAAAGCCCCAAGAAGCCCCCAAGATGCGCCAACGAGGCCCCCAAGATGCTCCCAAGAGGCCCCGAAACTGCCCCCCAGAGGCCTACGAGAGCGCTTCGAAGAGACGCTAAAAGGCATCCATGAGGACTCTGACCCACGTCAGCGTCGTCGTCGCCGCCGCCGCCGTCCCCCTTCAGGGTCGGCGGCACTGGCCGGAAGGCCGTCCCAATACAGCCACGTGCACAGGACAATAACCTAATATTCAAACTCACTGGCCGCAAGACTTCTGCTGCCGATTTGCGAGAATCGTCTTGTCGACGTCGTCTACCGATAAAGCGTTGAACAATGTCTTGTCATTAACGCGGCGAAGACATCGAACGTATCTGAAATCGGTAATTCTGTCGGGATGGCAAAAAAATAACGGCATTCTCGAGTGCAACTCAAACATTACGCTCTTGTCGACTCGTGGCGGGATTTTGGCGAGCAGATCAGGAGGAACGCCGTACTGGCCCCATAACTGGTTGCGCAAGAACCCTGACTGATGAAACGGGCCTGCCGCAAAGGTCCACTGCGGCTGCTCAGTCCAAAACACCGTCCCACGCAACGTCATCATGGTGATTGTTGTGAAAGTCTGAACAGCATGAACCGACTCCAAAAAGAATATGTCTCCCTTTTGAAAAGCACAGGGTCTGTTACCGTCGATCCCTGACTTTGAATGGTTGCCACTCAGCCATTTCAACCCTATTTCACTCCAATTGAAAGTGGGTTGTCTGACGTACGGACCAGGCTTCACATTCAGCAGCTGGCTTTGCCACCCTGGTTCCACGGTCAACGCTGGATACTGCAATGTGAACAAGCACTGAGGCTCAGCAAAAGATTGGCCACCCAAGCGTTTCGCCATGAGCTTTAATGACTGCCCACCTGGATGCGTATGAGAAGTAAAGCTGGGTGGATCAAACGAGCCTGTCCCTGGTGCTTGGAATTCTTTCGAGAGGAGTGTATGGGTTCCAGGTGCCAAATTGTACCCTATCTGTCCTGTACGAGTTCCTTCCCAATGAGCAAAGCTGAACGGCCGGAAACCGTAACGCTTATCAGCATCAATCACAAGATCCATATTGATCACTAGCTTGTATTCCAAAGCCTTCCCCGCCAATCGATCATCATCAAGCCGCAGTCCACACTTGACTCTGGTCTGAGCGGGGTAATACCTTGCCCAACCGTCTGTCTCATTCAGTATATCGTAGCGCTTGAGGTGCTTGTTCATACCAGCAGCGCCAGCCGTTTCGAAAAAAGGAGCTTGGTGCTCAAACACATCCTGCTCATACCACTCGTCTGCCATATTGGTCCTGCATACGATGTGATGCACGTGAATGGGCGGCCAAAAAAAAACCTCGGTATCCGTCTTATCTGTGACCGCTGCGTGTGACGACTTCAACCAGAAACCATCGTCAGGCGTTGGAAAAGGCACGCCCTCGTTGATCCCTAGCTCCATTTTCTTGCCGGGACCGAGAATAAAATCAAACTTGACTGTCCACTGCTCGGAGCCCTCTAACCCCCCTATAGCCTGCGTGCACTTGTCGACATAGAAATTATTGTGCTGGGCGTTGCGGTTCACTAGGGAGTTTGTAACTGGACAGCTGAAGGCGAGCTGGAAGCACGCAGTGAAACAGCACAACAACAAAAAACATCGGGTCCGCATGGTGATGGGCAGCCACGCAATCATGAGAGCTTGCGCGCTGCAGTCAGAGCCACCTGGGAGCCGAAATGGCAATGAGAAGTGTTTGGCCATGCCTGGCCTCTTACAAATCCACAAAAAAGTCAAATTTGCCTGCGCCCTCGTTTTGTTCCTTACGGGCGCACGCCCTCCTCCTCCTCGGTGACCCTCGACTGGGCGGTCGCGTTCGCGTCGAAGCGCCAGTGCCCTCCAGCTCCCACCCCCCCCCTCGAGACCTGCGGGGGGGGGGGGGGCGGACGAAGACCCGAGAGGCAGATAGGGAGAGGAGGGAAAGACGGCTGGCCAACATTAGGATGCACCTGGCAAGGCCCCTCAACCTTCGACTGCACTGTCGGGGGCGGCCGAGAGGGGGACGTCCAAGAGGGGGGGGGTGCAAATCATAGCCTGCGGCATGCGCGGCCCAAGGGGGGGGGGCCAGGGACGTAAGAAATAAGAAGAGGCGCCATGAAATCTGACATATCATGGCCCACGCCTTGATGGCCCCCCCCTAGTCACACCCCCCTCTTGGCCGCCCCCGCCACTAGGGAAGGCCCACGAGTACCGACACCGCTACTCCCCGGACCTCTCTGCTGAGGTGCGTTCTGACCAGAATCTCGGAGCGAATCCTGCTGTCGCGACGACGGCCTCACAGGAGGCCAAGAAGCGCGAAAACAGAGCAAATGTAGCGGTGTGGCTACTTTCCCTCCTCTGAGTAGCCTCAGTCGCCATCAGCCTTCCACTGGCCCATTCGACACGCCGTGCCGGAACACACCCTCGGCCCTCGGACTCCCCGCGAACCGGGAGCACCCGCGAAGCCCGCTCTGCAGAGTGGCCGCTGTGCCGCCCAGTGCGCCTCCATGGAAACAGACGAATGTAGGACGGTGACAAAAACGGACGAGGATAGATCGGGACTCTCTGAGATCCGGCGGTTCTAGAAGATGTCTCGGGCGCCGCGGCCTTGTCAGAGCGTTCCGGAACGCTCTGAGAGCGTGTCGGAACGCTCAGGAACGGATTTATCCCTGTGCCAGCCCCGCCCGATGGAAGCCTCTGTGGACCTCCGCGGCCCGATCATAGACGTGAGTTCGACCGGATATCGTCCAGACGCCGACCACCCCTCGTCACCCTCACGCCCAGATGTCGCGCAGATGCCGACCGAATCCGCACGAAATCCCTCAACACCTCAAGGAATCGTGGGAGCTCCTGCGGCTCCCATGACGAACTCCCCACGAGTAGGGCAGCCACATGGACGCGCGTGCCCACAGGGCAGCTGCCGTGGGCGTTGAAAGCCCCTCTCCGGCGCCTCCTGAAAGGCACGGTCCCGTAAAGCGGCGACGGCGTGGTTCGCAGCAGTGAGCCGTGCAGCGTTGGCTTCGACGTTTCAGCGATCGTCGGGCGTCTGCGCTGCTTCTCGTCGGCTTTCTGGCCTAAAGATGCTCTGCAGCAGCCGTGCCTCGAAGAGAGGCGTCCAGAGGTGCCTGGGTCGTCCCGAACGGCCGCAAGAAATCCAAGCTATGATCCGAGGACCGGACGACGCCACAGCCACTCCCCTCCGCGATACTGCATCCATTTCCGCAGTCCTTCTCATCGATCTTTCTCCTCCCCATTCCTGCCTAATCCACGAGCCTCACTCCTCCTCCCTTTCCCCCTCCTTCTCGTCCTCCTCCTCCTCCTCCTCCTTCTCTATCTCCTCATACGTTGGCCATTGCCTTCAGACCTCCTCCTCCTCCTCATCATCCTCTTCCCCCTCTTCCTCCTCCTCTGCTCCTCGACTGATGGGCAACGGTGGGGGGGACTAGCTCAGAAGAGGGAGTATCGAGCCAGAGTCGACGATGCATGGCCACGCCGTTAGATCAGCGATAGACCCAATTGCGAAACAGCGCGTTCCTTGGTGTGGTGGGCTATCAGGCAGCTATCGGCGACGAATGCGCGTCTGGGTCTGATGCACCCAACCCCGACACCAGTCCCACCCCACCTTTTCCGCTGACCCATCCAATAATCCATCCATCCTGGTCATCGATCCTGTTGCGCACTCCTCATCGATCCTCATCCCTCCATTCATGCAGAAATTTCACAAATCCTGAACAATTGCCTTCAATCTTCCTCGCCCTGCTGCCTCGACCCCCACTCCTCCTTCCATGCAAAATCCATCCCCACCATCCTCCTCCTCCTTCTCCTCCTCCTCCTCCTCCTCCTGGACTCCTCCTCCGCCGCCTCATCGGTTCTCTCCTCCTCCTCCTCCTCGTCCTCCTCCTCCTCCTCCCCTTCCTCATTCGCCTCCTCCTCCTCCCCCTCCCTTTCCTCCCCCTCCCCTTCCTCCTCCTCCTCCTCCTCCCTCCTCCTCCTCGTCCTTCTCCTCCTCCCGTTGCTCGCCCCCCCCCCTTCCGAGGGGCGCCCTCCCCAAGCGCGAGCGCGTGCCCCCGCTCTCGCGGATGACGGCGATGTTGCGTGGGTCGGCGATGGCCTGCCCCGCGAACACGGGCGCCGCTGCGCCGGCCCCAGGACAAGGCCTAAAGGCTGACGAGGGAGAAAGCGGAAGGAGGAGGAGGAGGAAAAGGAGGTTCCTGGATGAGGCAGACGAGGAGGAGAAGGAGGAAAAGGAGGAGGAGGAAGAGGGGGAGCGAGCAGCCTGAGGCAGAACATCCTTGATCCGCACGACTATCGAGCGGCCTCCTCTCTGGCCCGAATCCGCTCGGCAAGTGCACGCAATCGATCGTTGCCGACGAGTCGCACACTTCCTGCCGATGCGGGGCCTGGAGGAGCAAGCAGCACCGTCTTTGGCGGTGCTCGAGAAATAGTTTCAACACCCCCGGGGTCCCGCCTGCAATGAGGGTGGATGCCTTCGCCGATTCGCATTAGGGCACCTTTTTTTCCTGAGGCCCCCAGTTTCTCGGAACATTTCTGGCCGAGCAAGTGACACCTGCGGGAGGTGTACGCACCACACCTGGTGCAGAAACTCAGAGGCTTCTGGGCACGGCTGATGGTGGCAAAGCCTAATTTGTGAAAGCGGACCGACTCAGCGCCTTCGAGGCGCCGCAGGGCCGTCGACAGACCCGCGCACCCCAACATGGGTCGGCCGTTGCCAGCGAACGCCACCAGGAAACAACGCACACATCTGAAGCCGCCTGCCGCGAGCTGTTCCCACTCATGCCATTCGGATAGGAGTTTGACTCGGGGGGGGCGGGTGGCCTTCGGGGGCCGAATAAAATCAGATTCGGAAACAGGGGCAAGACAGCTCCGAACATCTTGGCACAGGAGAGGAGGATCTGCACCCGCCTATCCAGCCCCTCAAGATCAGCGGGTGCAGCTTGAGGATGGAGCGAGAGGGCAAACTTGGCGAGACGGTCCGCGCCCTGGCTTCCCAGCGCGATTCGTCTATGGTCCTCGGGCAGTGCCTGGATTATGTCATCAGAGCGGCGTGCTGGGGCATCGTGGGCTTCTCCTGCGGCCTCGAAGCCAAGTGCCTGTTGAGCCGCACGACGGGCACCCGCAAACATATGCTTGGGCCCGGGGTGGGCCTGGTCCGTTGCATTGTACAACTGGACCGCTCCTTAGCCATCGCTGTAGGGGGTGGACATCCCAGACGCGAACGCACAAACAGTGGCCATGCCAACATTTTCAGCAGCCAGCGGGGCCTGGTGCATGCAAGGCCAAATCGGGGCCATGAGACGGGTCCGAACTTTGTACTCGGGACCAGGGTCCAGGAAAACCGCTGCAAAGCTGGCGCGTTTCAAATCTGCCACCATACACTGGGAGGCCGAGCCATCCACGACCACGTCGCAGCTCTCGCCCCTCTCAACACATTCCCGGAGAGACAATGGCCTGCCTTCACCGTCCTGGAGCAACGGGTCCGTCGTCGAGGAGGGGGGGGGGGGGGGAATCGCAGGGTCAGGCTGGGCCACCATCGGGCGCGACCAGAAGGCCTGCTCCTCCACGGGGCTGGCACGAGCCTGGTCGATGGCGTCCTGTGAGATGGCGTCGGCTCGCGCCTGGGCCACCTCAGGAGCATCGCAAAGCCACTGGCGGTGAAACACAACGTCAGGCAGTCAGGCCTGCCGCAGCATGGGCACAGGCCGTCGGACTGATCGTCTCACTCGACTAGACGGTCTGCTGTCCAGCAGCTCTCGGCAAAACAAGCGTGAATCCAGTACCTCGCTCGCGGTGTGACTCGCTTCGAACGGAGGAGGGAGCGGATGGGGGTCAACCGAAACAGGCCCACCGACGAAGGAGGGGGTCGACGCGGCGAGGTATCTCGCATGGGATCGCTGAAGCCTGACAGCAGCAAACTCGAAACCATGGCTGGTGACGTGTACATTCAATCAGCCATTCTGCCTAGATCATCTTGCCAGAGGTGAAAATCTAAAGCTTTCCAGCCTTTTCTGTCCAGGTTCAGGAGCATCCGGTGACCAGGGCCTCTGGAGGTACGCCATTGCTGGGGACCAAGACCATGTTCTCTCTGAAATGTCTCCCGGGTGCGCCAAATCCTGATGCGCTCTCTGAAGCTCAGGGGGCTGGCGCGCGGCGTCGTCAGACTTCTCCAAAGTGAACTCGCCCACTGTCTCGCTGGAGCTGTCGCCTGTATCCAGGCTGGGTCTCCATGCACGCATATCTTGGCAGAGAGCGAAACTCCACGATGAGCAGGCGTATACCCTGACAGGAGGACGCCGCGGAGTTCGCCTATTTCCTTGTCTGGCATCGCCAGTGCCATCGCACCGTACGCCGTAGCCCGCAGCAGGCCGAAGTCCAGAAACATAGATCTTGCTCATTCGGCACCGGTCCCTTGGAAGCTTTCTCCGAAAATGCCTCCGGAAACCGTGCCTTGTCTTCGTGCTCCTCGTCCTCTCTTTCCGTTTAGCTAGACCTTGCTTGCTGGGCCGATGTTGTCCTGGCGCCAGGTCGCTGCCGAGGGAGACCACTGAGTTGCAGGCGAGCGAGGGGCAGAAGCAAGCCAATTTCTTGGTGAGGCGCCTCGCCACACGTTGAGTCGATACAAACGTAATGGCCTTATCCTCAGCCAGTCTTACATCTAGTCGCTCGTCAAACATTTGCTTCAAATCAGCAGCCCCCTCGACCAAAGTGCGGACGGCGACGTCCTCTGCTCCTGACATTGCAACTGTATCATCATCGATGTATGAACCCAGGGAGACCTGGGAGAACCGCGCGCAGAACTGATCAAACTCGAACAGGGCATTTACCTCAACAAACACATCGCTAACTCTGTCTCCTGCTGGGAGGCCTGACTGGGCAAACAGCGGCAAGGGGGCTATGATGAGCTCCGGGTCGCAATTTCCTGGGGCCCCGCCAGAGGTTGTACAGGGTCTTAGTGGGGGCCCGAGGAATTCCCTAATGATTCCGCCCAAGCTCGAAGCCATTCCAACCTAAACGATTCATAATACTTCTGACCGCCCCAGATAAACCCTGCTGTGATCTCGCCGCCACTGGCCGCCCCTTCAGCTAGAATAGCCTGCTTCCAGACAGTCGCCTCCGAGGATTGCCCAGCTCCAAAGGGCCAATAGGATCTATGGGGCCCCTCGAGAAAATCAGCAGCTTCAGGGCGCCTCAGACGTCCCCAGATACACGGACAGGAGCGGCAAGTGACAAAATAGGCCTCGACCCCCCCTTGGGCTCCTCCAGAGGCGGCAGGAGCATCCACTGGAGCTGCGACGGGAAAAGGCCTAGGCGCACGATGGCCTCGAAAAGGAGCGCCATCACCTCGAGGGCGGTGTCGCTCAGGAGGCTGAAGTGGCGAACGTGCAGCGAACCCAGAGACTGTGCAGTGCGCTTGCTGAACTTTGATGCCGCGCGGATCTGCTCGGGGCTGGCTCCCTCGAAACACCGCCAATCAGGAATCCAGGCCCAGGATCGGCCGAAAACGTCCCAGGGGAAACCTGCACCACGGTAGGCTGCCATTTCCTCTGAAGCTTCGTGAACCGATGCATGGGCCTCGCAGGCCCGCCCAGGGCCTTCTGTTGCCAATCATCCCAAGACTGCGTTTGGATATCACCCCAATATTGTCGGCATCTCCCAGGTCAACAGATGCATCATCCAAGAAAGGCTCTGCTCTCGTGCGCCACTCCTGCAAATGGGGGAGGTCGGGTCTCCAGGAAGAAGCCAGGGGGCGCATCGCGCGGGGCGAAGCGTCCAAACGAACATTGAGACCTTCCCCAGAACAGGGGTGCTGCAAAGACACCTGGAGTACTGCAGCATGGCCTTCGCCCTCGGTGAACTTGGAAGTAGCCTGTGCGAACCCAGCGAAAGTGTGATGCACCCAGCGCCATCCTGAACGAACTTGGAGTTGGTCTACCTTAGGTCGGTAGAATACAGAAACCCAAGGCGCCCGAACATTCTGACCACGCCCCCCCAGGACTTTAGCTTGAACTCCCAGGAAACGGACAAATTCCAGCTCAGCACAGTCAACGAAGGTCGCCCATGCCGAATTCAAAGTAGCCCAAACCTCCGTAGCTGGACTATGTCGGGATTGCGCAACAGCACACAACGCAAGGTGTCGGGCACCATCCCAGCATCCGTCATCTGGTCGGGGTCCGAAAGGAGCATCAATCGGGGGAGCCTCTGACAACATATGTAAACCAGCTGCTTCACACAAAGCGCATCAGGACGGATTTCCCCGACGACTGGCCCATGAGGGTTGATCCACCAACCTGCGTCAGCAACTGCCCGTTGGACCAGACGAGCGACACCAGGGCCCAAAACAAAATAATCGACAATCGAGCGCGAAGGGGGTGACCTGCAAGTGGGCATCGCGGGCGCGAGCGCGAGCATGCCTAATTGTTCTGCAGCAACCTGGAACTTCCAAAACCTCGGGAATCATGTTCCAGTCACCAGCGATAACCGCATGGGGCGGGCCCGAGATTCAGGCCCCCAACTTAGCCAGGAGGCCCGCGTTGATGGGCCCCATCCCCTCGGCCGGCTCCAGATATGTCGAGCATAGGGCAACCGTGGGCCAGCCGGGGAAGTCCGCGAGGACCTTGAGAATCCGATGAGGAGCCACGGGAACATCCCCCCTGGGGGCCATCTGATCCCAATACTGAGCCGAGCGAAGATAGCCACCCCATCAGAGAGCTTACCCGTGTCAGGGTTGTGGTAACTTGGTGCGAATAGAGCATGCCACCCAAGACGTCGAGCCTTGTCTGTAGCACGTCCGACAAAATCGATGCTGGTTCCCACATCCTGCGCACATAAGAGAACAACTGTGCTCTCGCTGAGGCGCCTCTTGAGGGTGGTCCAGCATGAACCGTTGAAACTCTCTCTACAATACTTCCCATCAGTATTAGACCTGGCAGGCGCCCCCTTCAGAGGGGGAGCTGGCGCACCTGTGAAGGAGAGAGGTCACCCACAACACTTGGGGGGCAGGGCCGTCAAACATAGTGTCACCCACACGTTCGCTTCTTGGCTCGCACCCCGAATCTCTGAATAAGTTCTTGAAAGGACCGTTTAGCATCACCGCTGTCTGACCTGGAAGCAGCAAGAAGCTGATCAATACCTTCGTCCGTGAGATCTTCAAAATCGGTACCCATGGGTTCGGATGTTGTTCCCCCTGGACAATTCCCAGCAGCCTCAGGAGTGGGCTGGGGTTGAGCAGCACGTGCCTTGAACTGCTGCTCGCACAGTTTCTGGTACCCTGCGAACTGCTCCGACTGCAGGATGGTCTGCATGTCGGGCTTAACCTTGACGTATTCCTCACCCAAGACAAAAACAGGGACTTCGGGCGGCACAACCTGCTGCATGGTGGACTGGCGCTCGAGCTTGGTGGCTTGCATGTCCTGCAGGGCCCTGTAGCCTCCTCGATGAGTCCCTGCTCCGTAGCGATGACCTCTTCCAAGCGGGCGAGCTTGGCATTGGACCTATGCAACTAGTGTCCCAAGGCCGTGATCCTGGACAAGGACGGCTTGGTGTTGTTGAGTTCCTTTATTGCATCGGCGAGCTCCTTTTCCATGGACTCACGGATGACTGCCAGGAACTGTTCGTCATGGCGAATTCCCTGGATGGTGGACTCCAGAGACTTGATCTTGGCCAACAGCTGACGGCCTGCTTCATCAATAGCGGCGGCTGCGGCGTCTGGCCCTCCTCCGTCTGCTGCATCTGGAGGGGTGGGGCCAGGAGGCTGCGCGCGGCGCCCTCCACCTGGGTTGAGCTTCTTGGTGAAGATCTGCATCTGCTTCTGCATCTGCGCCAGCTGGCGTGTGACGGTGGCAGCATCCCAAGCACCAGGAGGACCGCGAGCCCAAGCCCCACCAGCCGAACGACTGGGCCTGCTGTAAGGTGCACGCTGGAGCTCGGCCGCCCTTTTCTTGGCCTTGTCGCTGTCGCTCTGGGGTGCCTTCTTCCCGCACAGGCACTTGATGCGGCTCGCGAAGTTGGAGTTGCGACCGCATGACGGACATCCCCACATGGGCGGCTTCGGGCCTGGGAGGACATCGGGATCGGGTGCCATGGGCTGCTCCAGCAGGAGCTCACAAAAGCGTGGGGGTTGAGATCCCCCGAACTGAAAGAAAGACCGAGCCAATGACCCGCACTTGCGATTGCCACTCCGAAGACGGCAAGTGCAAGCCCAAGAAGTCCTTGGGCCGAAATGGCTAGGGAGAAGGGGAGAAGGAGGAGGAAGAAGAGGAGGAGGAGGAGGGAGAGGAGAAGGCGGAGGCGGAGGCGGAGGCGGAGGGGATAGGAGGGGAAGGAGGACTGGGAGAAGGAGGGGGAAAGGAGGAGGATGAGGAGGAGCAGCAGGAGGAGGACTCGGAGGAGAAAGAAGAGGGGAGAAGAGGAGAGAGAAGAGGAGGAGTAGGAGGAGGAGAACGAGGGAGGAGGAGGAGGAGGAGAAGGAGGAGAAGGAGGACGAGGAGAGGGAGGATGAGGAGGAGGAGGGGGAGGAGCAGGAGGAGAAAAGACGAGGGGCAGAAGGAGGGGCGAGGAGTGAGGAATGAGGAGTAGAGAGAAGAAGAAGGAATGAGGATTCAGGAGTGAAGAGTGAGGATTAGGAGCGAGAGGGAGGGGGGGAGATGGAGGGGGGTCCTGGGCGCTCCTGCGGAAAGATGCCCCTTGGGGAAGGGAGGGGGAGGAGGAGGAGGAGGAGGAGGAGGAGGAGGAGGAGGAGGAGGAGGAGGGGAAGGAGGAGGGAGAGGAGGAGGCGAAGGAGAAGGATGAGGAGAAGGAGGAGGAGAAAGTGGAGGAGGGGGACGACGAATGCATACTAAAAGAGGCCAATTGTTTCCACTCGCTGCTTGAAACTACCCTTGGACAGGAGGATCAGAAGACGAGAGGGAGGATGAGGCGGAGAACGAGGCGGAGAGACGAGGAGGAGGAGAAGGAGGAGAAGGCAAAGGAGGAGGAGGAGGAGGAGAACGGAGGAGGAGGAAGGCGGAGAGAGAAGGGAGACGGAGGAGGATGAGGGAGGATGGAGGAAGGAGGAGGAGGAGAGCAGGAGGAGGAGGAGAGAGAAGGAGGCCGGAAGAGGAGGAGTAGGCAGCGACGACCGACCGACAGAACCCGACTGGACATCAGCGACAAACGACCGACCCTCCGGCCGACGAACGCGCGGACGATCGGCCGACCGACCGACCGAATAACCGACCGACCCGCCGCCCGAGGACGACGGCCAACTTTAAGTCGGGCGTGTCCCTCTACAGGAGGAATATCCAAAACATAATGCAAAAATAGTCTGGAGACGTTTTTCTGTTGGCTTTCGACTATTTGGGGGCATGCTCTGAATTGGCTTATCTTTCGTCGAAAATCAGCCTGTGGGAGGACATGTTCACCCTAAGGCTAACTGCCTAACCGACTGACTGCCTAACCGACTGGCTGCCTGACTGACCGACTGGCTGACTGACCGACGAGCGGCAGGCCCGCGACGGGAGAGCCGCGGGCCGAGGTCAGGTTGATGGTCTTCGGGTAGATTTCCTTCATCCTCAGCGAGTTCTTGGTCAGCGTGCACATCTGCGGCGGCCGGCGCCCCTCCACCCGAGCCCTGGGGGGGGGAATGGTCCATGGTGTTCGTGGTGTTGCTTTGATTGCGTCTATGGATGGTATTCCCCACGTCTGTTGCGGGCTGCTGGTCTCTACGCACGCAGACAGACATAAGCAAGAAGAACCCGCACACCCTTCTCTCATCATCTCCTCCTCCTCCTCCTCCTCCTCCTCCTCCTCCTCCTCCTCCTCCTCCTCCTCCTCCTCCTCCTCCTCCTCCTCCTCCTCTACACTCGTCATTTTCCGCCACCGTGCCGCTGGGCACGAAGTGGGCGCCTCCTCAGGTCCTCTGCCTCATCCTCTGAGCCTTTGTCCTCATTTCGGAGGCCCGGGCCCCAAAATTCTCAACAATCTACGGGGGCTCGGCGCGCACCGCCGCAGCCTCCCCCGCGTGGTGGCGGCGTGAATTTCTCGGACCCACGAGGGCCCTAAGACGGACCAGGAGGGCCCCAAGCGACCCCCAAGACGGTCCAAGAGGTCTCCGAGCTGCCGAAAGATCGCCCCATGACGCCCAAGACGGGCCCAAGACGGTCCAAGAAGCCTCCAAGCCACCCCCCGAGGCCTCCGGAGAGGCCTCTCAAGAGGGCCCCAAGAGGCCAAAATCACGAATTTCCCTGAAAGTCTTTAAAGGATTTCCCGACGCTCCAAGACGGCCCACAGGCCCCCAAGCGGGCCCCAAGACGCCCCAAGAGGGCCACAGGGACCCAAGACGGCCCACGGGCGCCCCAAGACGGTCCAAGAGGCGCCCAAGACGGCCCAAGAGGATCCAAACACCACCCCAAGAGGGGACCCAGATGGGGAACCCAGGCTGACAGTTCAAGCCCTCGGCCTCCTCCTCCTTCTCCTCCTTCTCCTCCTCCTCCTCATCATCATCATCATCATCATCAATATCATCAGCAGCATCAGCATCAGCATCAGCATCAGCATCAGCATCAGCATCAGCATCATCATCATCATCATCATCATCATCATTATCATCATCATCAGCATCATCATCATCATCATCATCATCATCATCGTCATCACCATCATCCTCATCATCATAGTCATCACCATCATCATCAGCAGCATCATCATCATCATCAGCATCATCATCATCTGCATCATCATCATCATCAACATCATCATCAACATCATCATCCTCAACCTCATCATCATCCTCATCATCATCATCATCGACATTATCCTCCTCCTCCTGGTCGTCCCCGCCATTCTCCCCCAAATGTCCCCCGAAAGGTTTCCACAACGGCTGGGGGAACACATGGTCCGATAGCTTGGCAGAGCTTCCGTCACAACGCTCGGCCACATGGGCTATTCCAAAAGGCAGGGGGCGGATTGATTCCCAGCAGGCCATTAGATACTGACCATCCGAATCACAACCAACACCACCACCAGTACGACAAACCATCACGATCATCCTCCTCGGCCTCCTCCTCTGCCTCGTCCTCTTCTCCGCAGCACGATCATCATCCTCTTATCACCATCGTCATTAATCACCCTAATCATATAATCACAACTATCATTAACAGCATCAGCAGCAGCATCATAAGCAGCATCATCGTCGTCATCGTCATCGTCATCGTCACCAGCATTATCATCACCATTGTCATCACCATCAGAATCAGCATCATCAGAATCATCACCTGCATCGGCATCGGCATCGACATCAGCATCAGCATCATCCTCGCCATCATCATCACCATCATCAACGCCATGAGCAATACCATCAGCATCATACTTACACGCAGCATCATTATGATCACCATCACCACCACCACCATCATCCTTACCATCAGAACAAGCATCAACATAATCACCATCACCATCAGTCACCATCAAAAGCATGCACATCGTCGTCGTCTTCAGCATCATCAGCAGCAGCAGCGTCATCATACTGATCATCCTCATATCCTCATCACAGTCATGATCCACATCAGCTCGCACACATCACGCACAATCACGCACTCACATGCTCGCGCTCCCATTCACGTACACACCCACACTTTCCCAAGTCAACATTCATGCACACACAAATACACACACACACACGCACGCACGCACGATGAAGCACACGCACACAAGCACACACTCATCTTGAGAAAGTCTCGAGAGGCAACATCCTCCGTGAGTTGCCTGAACATATGGAGCAGGAGCTCACCCACTTGGAGCCCCCACTTCACGTCCTCGAAGTGGCCATCCAAATCTTGTCACCGTCGTCTCTTGTGGGTTTCTGAGGCCTGCCTCTGTCTGACACCTCGGAAGGAGGCCCCTTTCTACGAGTAGACTGTGTGAGGAGCTCTCGAGGGGGGCCTTCCCTACGGGGCCCTCACTCAATCTGCACATTCGAGGGGGTCGTGCAAGTCCTGTACCTGTCGTCGTCTTTGGGCCTCTGAGGCTTCTGGTCCTCCACAATCCTTCAGGGCTTAACGTCTTCTGCCGTCCCTTGACTTGCACTGGAGCGGCCACGATTTGCTCAGGACTTCCTTGGACTTCTCTGGGTTGCCTAGATTTACCTGGATTGACCCCGACGTCCCTAGACTTAAATGCATCTACCCCGATGTATTCGGATGGACCCCAACAGTCGATGGTAAGGGACACAAACACAACAACCACAACCACAACTTCGGGTGACCCAAAACGGGGTCCAGCTGAAGGGGCGTGGAGCAATATATTTGGAGCAATTGTATTGCAAATGTATTGCGCCGGAGAATTGTATTGTATTGCTTTGTAAATAATGTACTGCACGCATGAGTCCAGCAATACATTTGCGCCCGGGAACGAATTGCACGCCCCAAACGTATTGCAGCACTACCCCCTTGTCGCTGGACCCCCTTTTGGGTCAACCCGAGCAACCACAACCTCAACCACAACCACAAGGAGGAGGCAGTCTTCGTTCAGCTCCCTACACCTCCTCTCCCTCATCGCCGCCTGTATCTCCAGGGCGTACACCTCCAGAAGGTGCGAGCCCTTGCTCACGTCGTCCGACCTCCCGCGCGGGGAACGCGGCATCTTCCTCTGCTCCCCGGCCATCGTATTCTGGCACTCCGGCTGCTCCCTCCTCCCCTTGTCCCCGAGGAGGAATGATGAGGAGGAGGCGAGAGCAAGGCGAGGATGGCGGAGGGTGGAGGACGGCACCTCCTCCTCCTTTCCTCCTCCTCCTCCGTTCCTCCTCCTCCTCCTCCGTTCCTCCTCCTCCTCCTCCTCCTCCTCCTCCTCCTCCTCCTCCTCCTCTCGCTGAAGAGCCTGCCGCATCCCCATCCACATCCCCACCGCACTGCCCCCGCACAGGGGGCCCCTGCTGGGTCCACGGATCGGAGGGAAGGCGCACGAGCTGCAGGTGGCGGGCATGCTCACGAACACCCTGGAGGTGGATACTGATTCACCGTCACGGAGGCATGGGGCAGACGGGGTACACGCACGGGGAAGAGAAGGAGCAGGAACGCAGAAGCAGCACAACAGACGATTTACAGCAATCGTCATCCGCCACCGTGCCCCCATGGCACGTTGAGGCGTGTTACTGCTGGAATGGCCCGTCTGGTAGAGGTACTGGGACTTTGAAACGGGCTCCCCTCCCCCCCCAGCCACGCTTCCTTGCATGCGCCGGCGCCTTCTCTCGAGATTTACTGGGCGCATAGACGTGCCCCATGGGGCCCGGAGGCGTCCAAAAAAACCTCGATGGCTTCCAAGACGGCACATGCAGGCCACCAAGGCTGGCCAAAAAAACCTAAGATGCCCCCAAGACGGCCCCAAGCTGGCCCAGAAGTCAGACCTCCAAGACAAAGTCGCCCCAAGAGCCAGCTATTGCTAGGCTAAGGGCCAAGGTTGAAGGACAACCTCGCTTTGCAAAAACAATATATAACACCAAGGTCTGGCTATGCTGTGGCTACCGTTCCTACGGTTCCATTTGTGAAACAAAAGGACATCATCTCAACGCCCGGCAATGGGCTGGCTGTAAGTCCTAATCGTTCGACAAAAAGATACCATTACTTTCGTCGAACGGCTTGCTATGGTCTGGCTGGTGTTCTGCGCGCGGATGGGAATCACGAGTGGGGGATGGAACACCTACTAAGCCAGTAGGGCCCGAAGAGACCACATGTGGAATTTGACCATGGGCTGTTAGTGAGACTTGGGCGTCTTCACCTCTGCCGGCATCCTGGCCCCGGAGGCTTCCCAGATGGCCTCAAGACGGCTCAAAACAGCCCAAAATCCTGCAAGACGGCTTCAAGGCAGCCCAAGAGGGTCCCTGGACGGCCCAGGACGGCCACAGGAGAGGCCCGAGGTGGCTCAAGACGGCGACCAGAGGGACCTAAGGCGGCCTCCGAGCACCCCATCGACGGCCCAAGATGGCCCAAGGACAGCCTCACGACGGCCACAAGAGACACCCCAGATGACCAAGAGGGCCCCAAGAGACCCTCAAGACTACCTTACAGGAACACAAGAACGGACGGAAGAAACGGAGGAGGAAGACGACGAAGACGGAAGACAACCCCCGACACGATGCGTAAGAGTGTACCACATGTCAATTACGGCTCTCCCACACCTCGGGTGACGAGGCATCCTGTGCACCCTCCGAACAAGTCGCCACACAGAATGCTGGGCGGGCACGATGGCGGGCCTTACCGCACGCGGCTGGGGAATAATCATAGGCTGCACGCCCAGAGGGGGAAATGCGAAGGGGCGGACCTTCTCAGAAGGCTCGGATGGCGCTGGGCCTTCTGAAAAATTGTCTAACCCATCCCCGAAACACACAGAGAAGGCGCGAGGGCTTCCGAGGCAGGAGACGCCGCCAAGAGGGCCAAGCCCCGATCCGAGCCATCCGCGCGGAACTCCTTGTCTTTCAATTGATGTAAGGTGGTCGCCGCAGGTTTTGGAACGGTTACTGCAATTTTTGGTGAGAGGGCTACGGAGATCGGGAGCCACACCGATCCCCCAAAGCCACCCATTTCCCACCAGGCGGATGAGAGTCGTGGTGCCCGCACCACGTCGACAGGAACGGCGACGTTCTGAGGAGGGGCCAGTCGAGACAACGACGGTCGTCCCTTGCGCTGTTCTTCCTCCGCGGGCCTCCTGGAGGCTTCTCGTCGCCACGCTGGACCCGAGTCGGAGAATGGGGGCAAAATGGACCCCGGGAGGGGTCTGGAGAAGGATTTTGATATGATTTGGGCGGGGACAGCCGCCGTTGGCTCAACTGGCCCTCCTCCGAGAGGTGCTCAAAACCACCTCGATCCACATGCAGCATATGGCAAGCAATGGCTGCACGGCCCAGCATGCGAAGACGCACGGCGGTGATCGCACGGCATCCGTCCCGACTAGGCCACTACGTTCCCTCTACGATAGCCTTCTCCACATCACCCCCTCTGTACCTCCCTCTGCACGTCTCCACTCGCCTCACCTCCGTTGCTAACGCTCCCTCGCCCCAACCACCCTGTTATTCCTCGCTATGCTGTGCAAATCTGTGGGAATCCCAAGAAGTATCGATGCCGCTACTCCCCTGACCTCTCCCAGGGTGCATTCTGACCGGAGTTTCGAGGCAAATCCAGCAGTATGGGTACCTTCTTCTCCTCTGGAGCGCGATTCTTTATGTTGGCGATAATTATGATGGGGGGGGAGGGGGCCCAGGGGGGGTATAATGTAACGCCTCCTCCCCAGCCGTGCGCACGGCGGCAGTACCGGGAACGCACTGGGGGTGGAGTGGCGTTACGTTATCGGGGGGGGGGGAGGGGGTTGCTGGGGGCTGTGATGCCGATTGTGTCCCAAGCACAAAAGAAGCACGCTCTACCCACATATTAGGTTCCACGGGAAGGGGCACGGCAAACGACGGAGGTGCAGGCGGGCACAGGCAGGGGTGGCCCGTCTGGCGTCTGGCACGTCTTGTGCAGGGTCTTCACCAGGCGCTGAAGCTTCTGCACGTCGCCTGCGATGGCCACGGTTCTTCAGAACAGCTGCTGCTGCTGCTGCTGCTGCAGTGGCCGCTGCCATTTTGATGGTGTTGCCGTTCCCCTATCCCTCATGGCCCCTGCCAAGGAAGACGAGATCTCATAAAAAAGATCGCAAAGGCCAATCACGTGGGAAAGCTGAGGCTGAACACCCGACAATTCGTCGGCCCAACGGGCCAACGGCATGCCAGAATGTCTGGCATCTGCCCTGAAGGTGCGCACACTCCGCGCGCGAACGGTGGCTGTGGGCCCATGGAGCAAAAGTGCCCCGGCAAGGTCCGCCACGAGATGTGTCAACTCCCAAGTGGCCCCAAAGAAAGCCTCGGGAACGTCCTGAAACCTTGGGAGGAGAGCCCAACGAGGTACCAGAACCAGCCGAGACGGCAGAGCGCAAGATTGCCCCTAGAAGGCATCCCGTCTGATAAGGAGTGCACCTCGACGCCCCAAAAATGGCACGAGTGCGCCTGGAGAAGCTGACATATGTGATTTTCTGTGGGCCTGATGTTGCTTCGAGCTTCGAAAGCGCCCAGACGGCCCAAGAGGCCCGCAGGATCACCCCAAGACAGCCCAGGATGCCTCCGAGTGGGCCCCAAAACGGCCTCAAGACAGCCCAAGAGCCTCCCAAAACAACCCAAGAGGGCTTCAAGAGGAATCGATGTCCTACCGTCCGCCCCAGAACCACACCCAGGACTGCCAGCAAGCCCCCAAGAGACACCGAAGCCCAGAGAGGCCCCCAAGAACTCCGCGAGAGGCCCCCAGGAGGCCCTCAGAGACCAGGCCCGAAGGATGCCTGCGAAGGCGACTTTCTAAGGGGGTTTGCTTTCGGGAAAGCGGCTTCGGGGTTGGGCACACGCAACATCCTATCCTTGTCCTCTTCGGTCGTCAGCTGGTTCCGTACACGTGTTTTGTGGCGCAGGCGCTGTGGCAGCTCCGCGGTCGGGGCGTTCGCCGTCCCCGCGCAGCCGATGGCACAACTGCAACTCGAGGGGGTGCATTCCCTAACCCGGGGGGCCTCAAGGGGCCTCAACGTGCCGCCCCCCACCTGCCGGCGCAACTTCGCCGACCTTTCTTCTGCAACACACCCTCCCCTCACCCGCCCTCCCCCTATGGAAAGGAGGGGAGGGCAAGGTCAATGCGCCGCTTTGTTGACGAGAGGTCGGAGCTAGATCAGTCCCGGAGCGGATTCCGGAGAGACGTGGGGAAGAGACCCGCTTCCAGAATGCTAGCGCAGCTCGCTAACCGCCCCCCTCCTCCGGAACATCCTCTCCTCACCCACCCCCCATGGCCTGTGAAGGAGGAAGGGGGGAGGGGGAGGGGAGAAGGAGGGGGACCATACACCCCCGAGGCTCGATCGCAAAAGGGTGCCGGTGTCAGGCCGCCGACCTCATCGGGCTATCCATCCCCTCCCAACCCTCCATCCCCTCCCAACCCTCGCCGCAGCATCTGGCTCATAGCAGCGGGCGTCTGCCAACTAGTGGTTCAATGACCTCCTCAGCATGGAGCCCTTGCTTCAAAGTATCCGCCATGCGAACGATGCGCTGCACGGGTGGCAAAACATTCCCGGCTTGACACTCCGACTCGACTTTCTCGCTCAGTCCGGGGCGTCACCAGAATTATTGTCTCAGTGGCTGGACGGCGTGCAGCTCGACGCATCAGGGGTCTGCCCCAAGCAGGCTAGGAATCACTTGTCGCATCTGGAACACCAGCCGCGGGCCGAGCAGGAGTCCAACCGCTGTGCAAAACTTGGCAAGGTGCACTTGTATCCGCCTGGCCAGCCTAAACCGCCAGGTCTGAACGTGAATCCGCGCGCACTTCTCCTGAAACCGCGGGAGGGTGCGTCGGACGATCTGCCAAACGAGCAACGTTTTAAGGCTCGCCTCATAGTTGATTTGCGCAAAGGGCAAGTCAACGAACATATCCCTGATATCGGGGTTCGTTACGGCACCTTGGAAGACGCGATACAACGTCTCACGGCCACATCGTGGATGTTCGTATTCGATCTCCAAGATTGCTGTCTCAACTGGAAGGCGGCCGAGGTTGACTCCCTTCTCCTCGGTTTTTTACAGGCCCGGCACGCGGCTGCTCGGGAAGTACAAGTTTCTGCCGTCCGTTCGGCCTCAAAACTTGCCCCGGGCATCAACGACGCTTCTGTCAAAGAGGTCCTTCGGCTAATTACTCAAAAACCGAACGGGGGTGGACCTCCTGGACTTCGTCGACGACTTTTTCGGCGCGGCCACATCGAGAGCCGAGGCAGTGCGCCAGCTGCGCGTTGCTGTTGAATTATTTCTATCTTGCGGCATACCCGTCAGCGCGAAGCCTTCGGGCGTGAAAGGGCCAGCGCACCGCCAGACGTGGATCGGCTGGACCTTCGACGCGGCCGAAACCGTAGTCACTGTCACGCAAGAGAAGTGCGACAACACACACGCGCGTTTGCCAAGATGTACTCGAGGCTGACATGGACCGTTCCCTGCGGAGTCGCCAGGTCACTTCGGCCGCAGGGATCGCTAGCCATCTCGCGGAGTTACTACCGCAGGCCCGGCGCAGACTACACCCCATTTAGGCCGACCTGAATGCTGCCAGGGTGTACTCAGTTTTGCAAAGCTCCCCTCACGCCGACCCGCCAGCGCGCCTGTCCGACAACAGCCGGCAGGCACTGGCGTGGTTGATGCGAACTTTCGCCACGCCTCCGCGCAGACACCTGTTCTGCGAAGGGGGCGCCTTGTCGTCGTGGGGGCACAAGTCCCACGAGTTCGCCAACTGGCGCGCGCTTGCAGCAGACGGCAAGGCGCAGGTGATCGAAACAGACGCCTCGCGCGACCATGGCTGGAGCTACCACCTCTGCAACTCGGGGGCGGTAGTTTCTGGCACCTGGCCCGGCGATTTTGCCGCGCAAGAGCAATTTCCCGCGGCCGACGCCATTAGCTACAAAGAGTTGTGGGTGGCAGTTGAACGTCTGCGACGTGAAGGGGTCGTCCTCCGAGGCTGGGGGGTAGGTCTTCAGAATGGACAACACTTGTGCCGTTCACTACGTCAACGTTAGGTACGGCCGGCTGCCGCACCTAGAACAACTTGCTCAATGCTTCGAAGACGCCGAACGGGCGTCTGGGCGTTCGGCTCTCGCGGCGCATCTGCCCGGCCGCTTCAACGCGGTGGCTGACAGGGGCTCTCGGGGTTCCGGCTTCGCAGCCGCCTGGGCCGACGACCCCTTCAGGGATGCTGTTCTGCGTAAAGATTTGTTTTTGGAAGTGCATACCAGATGCAACATCACCTGCGCGCTGGGCCTCTTTGCCGACTGGCGCGGGCTGTCCGCTCTAGCCGCAGAGTGGAGATACCCGGACTGACAGCTTTCGAGAGCAGCCTCGACGGGCACGTCGTCTGGGCTCACCCGCCACGGGCGCTAGCCCAGGCATGCTTGGACTTTTACAAGTCTGCGCGAAAAGCTCGCCCGGCCATCAACATTTTATTGATGCTGCCAGAGGACGCAGAAGCTCCGCGGTTCCGCGCGGGATTTTTGTCCGCCTGGCACCGGGCCCGCTCCTGGGATCCCCGCTCGGATATCTTCAGGCGGCTCTCCCCAGAGGGTCAGCTAGGGCGCGGGCCCCGCGCAGACCTCCGCTACTCGGTCCTCGCCAGCTGGAAACCAGCCCGGCGTAACCGACGATTGCAAAGATTGCGTAGTCTCTCCTAGTTGTCCGACAAAAAACAAAAACACAATGACAGCTGGAGGGGAATAAGGGGCAGCAGGTGCGGCCACGCCGTGAGCACTCACACCGCGCGCACAACATTTTTGGCACGCCCCTCCCCTCCCTTCCCGTTCCTGCCGACCCCAATTCCCCCTCCCCCCCCCATCCAGCCAGCAGCGATCCTTTATTCCTTGAACCGTGGTGCGCATGCGGTATACACGCACATATCGCTCTGTCCTGAGGCCAGGCGCTAGTCGGGGCTAGTCACGCCCAGAATATTCGTTCCGGCGTGCGTTTCCGAATTAATCTTACTACCACACAGCGCGTAAACTGATTCAGGCGTGCTCTAAAAGTCTGAACTACCTAGTACCATTAAAAAATTACTTGCCGCTGCCTACACTTCAACACCTAATCGTGCACACTCGTTAACGTTACCTGTCGCCCCGTGCGTTCACGAACGTGTTCACTACAACTGCGCCGCGCGTGCTCACATGCAAGGCCGGCCGCTGGGCCGAACAGAAAGGCTGGTCAGGCCCCAAGCCGTAATAGATCTCTTTCATCATAATGATCTCGACGTTCTCGTACTCTCCTGGCCGTAAACGGCTTCGTCGCAATAGTGTTGATATACCATGCTCTAGTACTGACCTATCCCATAATCTGTGGAAATGTTCCAGATTCTGTCTCAGCGTCTCATATCATACTGTGTGTAAAACAATGTATGAGCCATCTGATACGTCGCGTCAACCTTTCCTCACGAATTGATAGTATCGAAAGCTATTCTTGGCGCCTCGTACTCCTTTGACTCCACAACATAACTGCCAACAATCCAAACAGTCCGTGTAATGATCCGTCACCACCTCCATTTGACCAGCGTCGAAATACTCCAGAATGTCGCGAAGCTTGTGCTGTAGACCTGTAGCTCGAAGTAGTTCCGTAAATCTCATAGAAACGAACTGCGCGCACTGCTTGACCTTGTATCCCGCATTTGTCTCCGCATGGCATGTACTATGTGAAATTCTCTTTGAGCTACCAGACTGCATGACCATATTATGACAGGGCCCGCCGAAAAGATACTCGTCACTTGAAGTCGTTCTGTCCTGCTTGTCGAACTTTGCTTTGCGCATCCTGTCCTCCATGAGAAATACAGCACTGCCCTCCTGAGGTCCTGAGGATAGCTCGTCACAATATTGCCGTGAGAAGCGCCTGCCACACCCGCCCATCTGAAAGGAGGTTCCAGCTCGGGAAAATGTAATCCAGCCAACCGTATGTTCCTTATCGCTCGTCCGATGATCACG